CCAGGCCCGCCCCCCTCTACACCCCCCCCCCACGGCCGTCGGGCATGCATGACGTCACTTTGCCGTTCCACAGGGAAAGTTTTCTTTAATATACAGTAAGGATAAGGATTTGCAAGTTTTCCTTCCAGTTCAGAAAATCTCACCAACTCCACATAGCTGCATTGGGATCCCTGCTTCAAGCTGGCAAAGGCATGTTGTGCTCAGTCTTCTGAGGTCTTAGTAGGTTTGATTCCTGGCTTCGGGCATGCATGACGTCACTTTGCCGTTCCACAGGGAAAGTTTTCTTTAATATACAGTAAGGATAAGGATTTGCAAGTTTTCCTTCCAGTTCAGAAAATCTCACCAACTCCACATAGCTGCATTGGGATCCCTGCTTCAAGCTGGCAAAGGCATGTTGTGCTCAGTCTTCTGAGGTCTTAGTAGGTTTGATTCCTGGCTTTTTCTTTGGAATAGGCTTCCTGAACCCTGTGGCTTAATTGGAAGGCCATAGTTCAGGAGTTTGCTATACTTGCTGCTTTCAGAGTGTCCAGTACAGGTTGGACCTCCCTGGTCCAGCACCGTTGGGACCTGACTGGTCCCGGATGAGGGATTTTGCTGGACCAGGAGAGGTCATTTCTGGACCCCTGCCACCAGCCCCCTGGCACAGCCCACTGGCCTCCCAGCTGGCCATCTCCTGCTGACTCTGCCAGACAGCCATCTCTGCTGTGGCTCCAGGACCCATCAGGCAACCATCGCTACCATGCACTGGGTGGCCCCACCGTCAGCTTGCTGCAGGCAGCCCACAGCCTCCTAGTCCACAGGGCTTGAAGGCACCAGCCTTCACTGCGACTGGAACATCCATGGTCCTGCTGGACCCCAGACTAGGGATATAAGCGACTAGTCGACTAACCAATAAGCAGGAGCTTATCGGTTAGCACTATTGACTAGTCACATTCCTTCCTCCTGCTGCCACTCTGCATTGTAAGGGACAGGGAAGCCAGCATGCCAAGGCCCTGGCTCAGGCCCTGGTCCTGTGGGTCTCTCAACAGTCAGAATAACCTATCTCACTGCTGCTCTGCAGTGAAATCACAGAGCTGTGTTTAACAGTGGGTAAGCCAGTCCAAGCGCATGCCTGGCTCCAAGAATGGTGACGCATGAGCCAAGCAAGTAAGAACATTTCTGATGATCACGGTCTGGTGGTTTTATATGTAAGGGGACTGTTAGCCCCTTACTAAAACTCAGTGGGAGTTTTTGGTTGGCCAGCTCCCAGTACCGAAAGGGGAAGGGTCCATGAGAAATCAGGGCCCTGAGATTAATAGACCCCAGGGACAATGGAAGGAGGCCAACACTCCAGCTCAGCCTGATTGACAGGTTGGACAGGCCAGGAAATTAGGAAGCCAGGAAATTAGGAAGCCAGGTCCCGTCTTCCCTGTGAGCTGGGATTTTCTGGGGGTCTCTGAGAAAAGGAGAGAGAGCTAAGAAGAGCAAGCTGTGTGGAGAGACGGACCTGCAGGGTCAGAGCCAGACACACACAGTCCAAGGAGTGCAAGCTGTACTGAAAGGGCAGTCCTGCAGTGACCAGAGCCAAAGGGGTCAGAGAAGCAATGCAAGGAGCTGGAGGCTGGCAAAGCAGCATAGTTTAGAGCTGGGTGTGGTGAACAGCTGGGACCAGCAAAGTCGGGGGAGGCCCTGGAGGCCAAACTTGGAGAGGGATTGTAACTCCATCTGAGAGAGGGGTCCTGCCACCTAGAGCCTGAAGTCGTGTGGTCGCTGCCAGAGCAAACGTGTCCAACCTGCAGCCCTCCCCTTGCAGCACAGCCAGGGCCTGAGAGAGAGCCCTGGGACTTGTAAGGAACAGACTGTGAACTGTCCTTACACTCTGTACACTGCTGTTTGTGATGTCCCCGTGCTACAGAGCAGGATTGTGTGTTCTCATTTAACCTCTTATTTTTTCTTTATTCTTTTCTTTTTAATCAGTTGCTGTTTAATAAATTGTATTCGCTTTGAACTGTATGTAATCAGGTCAGGAAAGCATCCAGTGTGCGGAGAGCACCCCAGAGTGGGGACACCCTAGCCCCTGCCCCAAGTGACTACAAGGTCGGGGATTAAGCCCCAGAAAACCTGGGCCCAGCCTTGTTGGGATTTCGAGGACTCCGCTACGCAGGAGAGTGGAAGGGGAGCCCTCAGGGTCAGGGAGGTCTTTGGATAAAAGAAATGGGAGCGGGGACTCGGATCCTTTCGCTGGCCCATTTCACCGGGTAGTATAGAAGCCAGGAAAGTTCCCTACAATAGCGGGACAGCTTACGTATAGGTGTATCCTCAGCTCTTGTGTCTGTGCTCATGCTCCAGCTCGCAATGTTCAACCACGTCCTTTGCCTTGGCCCCAAATCTCCCAGCAGAGTCAATTCTTAACTGTAAACTCTAAGCTCTCCCCTGGGCATTAATGTGACCATAATAGCATTTGTTCAAGTCGCCCCTAGATTGCTTAAATATAGAGGCAACCTGGCCTACAGAGAGTCTGGGCTTGGTGTGTCTTGGGTTGAATAAAACAGAAACAAAACAGACTCTAGAGAAATGTCAGGGTTTGTCTCAGTCATCCTCCTTTCTAATCTTGCTGCTTAGTTCAATTTTACAGTACTTTCATTTCCTTGTAATTGTGACCTTTAATTGTCTCTGTCTTGACAGTAAAACGCTTTCAGGAACCAAAAGAAGAGGCGTCCTTGGAGAATCTGGTGAGAAATAGCTTTTTTTTTTTTTTTTTAAGGCCTTGAATGAAGCAAAATATATTCTGTATCCCAGAACAGCTTTCTATGTTTGCTGTGATAATGAATGGTCCTGTGTTCCTAACTGTTCAACTTGAAAGTAGCATATAGACTGAAGTTCTTAGCAGTGTTACTCCCTATAGAGTTCCTATCGCATTATGGGTGAAATTGATGGAAACGCTGTAATCCTAGATACTACAGTGTATTTGACCCTTCTCTGTGTCCTTTTCTGTTAATTGAGAAGACTCCAGGCATTGTCCGCTCGCTAATTAGTGAGCATTTATCGTTGGCTCCAGACAGCAATATGCAGTTTCTAATATAATGTCGGTTAAGCTGCAGGGAGAGCCTGCCATACCTGTGCATTAAGGGAGGCTAGACAGATCTAAAATCAAGGCATCATGACGGTGCAGGAGAACCTCTTTCAGTACTAAGATCCCAGCTGAAATTCAGCCCAGACCCGTAGTAACCAAAAGCTATCAGTCTCATCGTGTCGTCTCGTCTTGCAGGGCTCTGACCAAATTGGTGACTCCGTCCTGTTCCTAGTAAACCAATGAGGAAAGCACCATCGCAGTTGACTTCCTTCTTGATGGCAGCCTCAGCTGGGCAGTCTGAATGGGCTTGTAAAGGCTGAATTCTCCTCCCCTGTCCCCAGGCTCGTGGGCAATGGGTAAAGGCTCAGCTGGGGAAGGCAGCTGAAGCCACGCCCCTTCCTCTCGAAGCCACGCCCCTTCCCCTGAGACCTTTCCCCTTCACAATCTTTCCTGCCCCACCCAAACCCATATGCAAGCCGGGGCTGCCGCGTGGCATGGCCACTGGGATTCTGCACGGCTCCTTCCCCTCCCTTGCGGCCGGGCACTGTAGGCAGTTCTTGGAAGGCAATACCTTCCCTTGCCTACATTACCTGCAGCCCATGCCCAGCCTGTTTCCTAATAGGGTCTCCACTAGTGCTGCACCCAGTGTGCTGGTGGCTCATATCCAGTGAACTCTCTGGAATGAATGTCTGGTAACGGTGTAGATCTGTGAGTCACACTTGCTGCTGCTTGTGAGGGTGCGTTTTTGCAAAAGCATTTGACCTCGGCCTATCTCTGCTCCCATTTACTTGAATGGGAGCTTCTGGGAATCCCTCCTATGGATTACAAAAGCTCCTTGTGCCAGGCTTGGGCTGACGTTTGCATCTTCACAAGTGTGATTTGTGTCCCAGAGAACACACAAGAACAGCCATACTGGGCCAAACCAAAGGTCCATCTAGCCCAGTAGCCTGCCTGCCGACAGCGGCCAGTGCCAGGCGCTCCAGAGGGGGTGGACTGAAGATAATGATCAAGCAATTTGTCTCTTGTCATCCATCTCCAGCCTCTGACAAACAGAGGCCAGAGATACCATTCCTACCCCCTGGCTAATAGCCTTTTATGGACCTAACACACTAATGCTGCTATTTAAAAAGGCTGTTGCATCTAATCTTCTCAGGTTTTATAACACCTCCAAGCAAGCAATAGGTGCCCTCTTCGTCCATTTTGCCAATGTTTTCCTGTCTGACCGTACTACAGAAGATGCCTGCTCCCTGTGAGTACAGCATGGAGCATACATTTGTGTTGGGACTGGAGGAATTGAAATTCACTCGCATCTATTGTCACTACTGTTGAAACAGACGCTGACTTAAGCCTTGTCTACATTATCTAGTTTTGTCACCAAAAACTTCCTTTTGTTGACAAAACAGGGAGAGTATACACACTGCAATGCAACTTTTGTTGCAGAGGAGGGGCACCCAGTTTTGGTGACACAAAGCTTCCAGCCCTGCGAGAGACTTTTGTCTTTCCCCTTGCCTTCATTGTCAACAAGAGCCAGTGTAGACCCTGCTGTATGTTTTTGTCCAGAGATCTGGCTTCCACCACCATCCCACACAGCTCCTCCAGTGTCACAGTGGTTAAGGTACCTGCCTCCAGAGCCAGCGGTCAGTGCTCAGTGTTATGTGATCTTTGCTGCCCTGCAGGCATGTGCCCCTCCCCTTTCAAAGTTCTGGGAAGTATCTGACAGCTGAGTGAGCTGCTCTGTATGGAGAACAAAGAACAAATCATTGGAATCATAGAATCCTAGAATCTTAGGTCTGGAAGGGACCTTGAGAGGCCATCGAGTCCAGTCCCCTACCCTCATGGCAGGACCCAGTACTGTCTAGACCATCCCTGATAGACATTTATCTAACCTGCTCTTAAATATCTCCAGAGATGAGGATTCCACAACCACTCCAGACAATTTATTCCAGTGTTTAACCACCTGACAGGAACTTTTACCTAATGTCCCGCTAGAAAGACCGCAGTAGGCAGACTGCTGCTATAGGAGGAGGGTAGGAGAGACTGCTGTGCTACTTTGAAAATCCTCAGCTTGGAGAGCCACAGAGTTAGGAGGGAATCCCAAGAAAGGCAGGGATCACTCTGCCTTGCCACAACACTGTGTAACCCGCACATCTAGGCTATGTCTACGCTGCCCCTGTTTTGCCAAAAAAATATGCAAATGAGGCAAAGCGTGGAATATTGCTGCACCTCATTTGCATAATTAATGAGGCTCTATTTTTGCACCAAAAAACCCCCCTCTTGTGCAAGAGCCTTTCTTCCTGAAAAAAATGTGGAAGAACGGCTCTTGTGCAAAAGCCTCTTGTGCAAAAACAGAGCCTCATTAATTAAGCAAATGAGGCGTGGCGATATTCAACACTTGGCCTCATTTGCACATTTTTTGTGCAAAACGGGCAGTGTAGACATAGCCCTCATGTGGTTCACTGTCCCATGCAGTGGCACCTAGACTACAACAACGGATAAGATCAAGAGACCTTTTTAGTGTGGGCTGAGAGCTGGCTGGCTTTATAGATCAGTCTGTAGCGGCTCCTATACTAAGCTCCAGAGATCCCAGGTTCAAATCTTCCTAGTGGTGGTAACAACAGCACTGTGGGATCCTTACCTACCTTGCTTTGCTAGCACCCTGTCAACAAATAGAGCAATGTGGCCATGAATTGTGGACAATGGGAGGCAGAAAAACTGGTTTGACTGGTTTTCACTTTTGGCAACTTCAGCATGTTGACAGCACTTATGTCGCCAAACCTTCCCAAGTACAGTAATTTCTCATTTAATACTACAGATATGTTTCAGAAAATGATCGTGTTAAGTGAAAACATGTTATGCAGGTCCAATTTTCCCATTGAAAATAATGGGAAAGGTAGGGGTTGCATTTCAAGCGGTGGTGTCTGTTGGGACTGGGACATAAGGTTGGGGGAGAAAGGGGACTGGGTTACAGCAGGGAGGGGAGGTGTTTGGCTCTGGGGAAGGAAAGGGGAGGGGAGGGGGATTGGGTTGGGAGTATGCCCCTGTGACAGGTCTGCCGGGACCTGCACTGTGTCTGGTGATGGGGGGGGTCGCCGAGGAACGGCACAGCGAGCAGCGAACCCTCCGCCGCTTTTCAGGGAGGCGGGGGAAGCCCTGCGCAGCCACTGGCGACAGGACGGCTGGGGAAGCCCAGATGCCGACCTGCAAGTGGGGATGAAGAAGGGGGACAAGGCATACGGCAAGGGGGAGTCAGCAGGGAATGGCATGGTGAGTGTTCTCTTAAAAAAAAAAATCATGCTATTGCGAAAACGTGTTAAGCGGGCACGTGTTAAATGAGGAATTACTGTATAGACATAGCCTTAGATTCTCTTAACCTCATTATTCCCATTTAACAGTCTAAGGCTTTGTTTACACTGGCAATTGAGTGATAAAGCTTTGAACAATAAAAGGTCCTTAAAACACCTAACAGTGCTAACAGTGTTTACACGGCCTGACTTTGAGCGACATGCCTGTGTCACTAAAAGCTGTCGTGTAGAAATATCCTCTGGTTTTCTTCTGAATGAAGGCATCTGGGGGCTGGGTTTTCAGAGGATCTAGCATTCTACTAGAAGTACAAAAATGAATGTGCAGCTGTTACTGATTTGCCGATGCAGGTGTTTGGGAGACAGCACTGTCCAGTGGCAGAAATTTTGGAAATCTGGGCACTGTTGACAATTCAGATAGGGTATGTCTACACTGCATTCCTCCTTCAAGAGAGGAATGCAAATGCGCACACAAATGAAATTGCAAATGAAGTGCGCATTTGAATTTCCCGTGCTTCATTTGCATAATCGCGGTCGGCCGCTTTTCTAAAATACCGTATTTTGAGGAAAAAAATGTGGTCCATACGGGGTTATTTAAAAAAGAAACCCTTTCTTCGAAATAACCTTTAAACCTCATTTTTTAAGAAGTAAGGGTTATTTCGAAGGAAAGGTTTCTTTTCAAAATAACCCTATTTTTGTTCTGGAAATACGCTATTTTTTAAAAGTGGCCGGCCGCAATTAAATGAAGCGCGGGAAATTCAAATCCACGCTTCTTTTGCAATTTCATTTGTCTGCATTTGCATTCCTCTCTCGAAGGAGGACTGCAATGTAGACATACCCATACTGACTCTCTGTGTGACCTATCTGGGGCAGAAGAGGGAAGGTTTTCCTAGAAGTACTCGGAGATCTAGGGATAAAGTGCCATATACATTAGGGATGTGAAAATGGAACTGTGTACATGGTGAACTGATGAGCCTGGGATTCTCGGTTAACCTTCACGGTTACATGCTGGCTCCCTGCATGTACCAGGAACCCGTTTAAAAGCTGGCTCCTGGTGTGCACTGGCTCCTGGGAGCTGCCTGCAAACACAGCCCTAATGTATA